CCCACGCTGTCGCCACAGGTGATCAAGCAGCTGATGAGGAAGGAGTGCACCCTGGAGTTCTCCCGCGACCGCAAGTCCATGTCGGTGTACTGCACACCCACCAGCCCCAGCCACAATTCCATCGGCAGCAAGATGTTCGTCAAGGTAGGGGAGAAGGTCCCCAGCACCCTGCAGGATCCTCCCTCCTCATACACACCCCGGCAGGATTTGGCCCTTACTGCAGCAGGCAGTGACACTTTGCAGTTTGTCTCCTCCCTTAGCTGTCTGGGGGTCCAGGAGCCAGCAGGTATGCTGGTGTGGTCAGGGAGGAGGTGAGTCTTTGCAGTACTGATAGGAGATTAAAAAAAGGAGGTAAAATTATTTAGAGGGAAGAAAAGGCACTGAGTGTGCTGGTGCTGGGTCCAGGGGAGAGCTGCCCCTGTGCAAAACTTGGGCACTTGCCTTTATTGAGAGCTTGGACCCTCTGGACACCAGTAATGTCCAAAGGGTGATGTCCAGCTTTCCACTGTAACCAGAAATAAAATAATGTTTTAAAGGGCATTTTTTTCCCAAGAGAAGAGATGCGGCAGGAATTTCGCCCTGCTGACTCTGAGAAAATTTGTATATTGTTGTTCCCACTGAGAGATCTTCTGGTGGGTGAACTCTGTCCTCCAAGTCAGGTTAGGACCCTTCAGAGCTACTGCATTTGTGGCCCTGGCAGCCCTGGACAAGATTTTTTAAAAGGAGCAACAGAAAGATTGCAATTTTTATATTAAAAAGCAGTGTCAGGGGTCCTTTGTAAGGTCAGAAGGGACGGGGCGAGATGCTGTGATGCTAAAGGACATGTTTTCCTGAATCACAAAGGCATCACAAGCATCCGCTGTGCATCCCGCAGGCAGCATGTGTTTTCGGCAGTGATTTACAGCCCTAATCCCCTCCAGGTCTGAGGGGGGATCTGCGGTGCGGGAGTATCTTGGGCAGAGGTGTAGGTTTTGCAGGAGTCAGACAGATCCCCTGCAGAACAGATCCTGCTGCCTGGTGACCTGACGTGGGTTCATCCTTCCTGGCCGCGGTCCTCGTGCGCTTGGTTGGAGGCTGCCATCTAGCGCGCTCAGCTGCCGAGCCGGGATGTGCCTGCTGGAGTTTTGGGGAGATTTCCTTCTCCTTTGCCCAAACTTGGTGCCTTCCCTCCCTCCAGTACTTCCTTCGGTGCTAGCAAGAGATGCTCATCCTCCACGTTCATTCCAGCTCCTGAGCCCTCTGCTCCTCCCCAGGGCGCCCCGGAAAGCGTGATCGAGCGCTGCACCCACGTCCGTGTGGGCACTGCCAGGGTCCCGCTGACGGCCCCGGTGCGGGAGAAGATCCTGGGCAGGATCCGAGACTGGGGCATGGGCATTGACACGCTGCGCTGCCTGGCCCTGGCCACCCACGACACGCCCGTCCGCAGGGAGACCATGCAGCTGCACGACTCCGCCGCCTTCGCCCACTATGAGGTACAGCACTGGGAGCTTTCTCCAGGAACTTTTTTCCTTATTCTTAAGTTTTCCCACCCACTTCCAGCAGCCCCAGAAGTATTTTCTCTCTGGTTTCGCTGTGGGCAGCGGGCAGCGCAATGGCTCAGCTCCTCCTCTGCAAACCACAGAGTGGAGCTGCATGCAGCAGGGCCGGTCCCAAGGCCAACAGCCCCGTCCCACTGGGCATGCACCCCCGTGGGGTGACTGCTGAGAGGGACCTGAGGACCACCCAAGGGATGGGGAGGAGAGCAGCGAAGCCAGAAGGTGTGAGGAGCAGCGGAAGGGGATGGGGGCATCCCATTGCAGTGGGGCGATAGGATGCATCCCTGGGGCTGTTGGTAGGAAATTTCTTGAGAGTTTTCTCCCAGGGGAAATCCCTGTGCCCAGGGTGGTTTCACAGCAGGGAGGGAAGCAGCTGCGTCCCCAGGGGTTAATGTGGGTCCGGGGCTGTCCCCACCCCCAGAACAACCTGACCTTCGTGGGCTGCGTGGGGATGCTGGACCCTCCCCGCAAGGAGGTCACCTCCTCCATCGAGATGTGCCGCAAGGCCGGCATCCGCGTCATCATGATCACCGGTGACAACAAGGGCACGGCGGTGGCCATCTGCCGCAGGATCGGCATCTTCTCGGAGAGCGAGGACGTGGCCGGCAAAGCCTACACGGGCCGGGAGTTCGACGAGCTGCCCCCCGAGGCGCAGCGGCAGGCGTGCCGCGATGCCCGGTGCTTCGCCCGCGTGGAGCCAGCGCACAAGTCCCGCATTGTCGAGTACCTCCAGTCCTTCCATGAGATCACCGCCATGGTGAGTCCTCCGGGAAAGCCTCACCACCCCCCGGTCCCCTCCTCTCCACCTGGCCCGGTCCCTTGCACCCTGTTAATCACGGCTTCACGCAGACGGGCGATGGTGTCAATGATGCCCCGGCCCTGAAGAAAGCGGAGATCGGCATCGCCATGGGGTCGGGCACAGCCGTCGCCAAGTCTGCTGCTGAGATGGTGCTCTCCGACGACAACTTCTCCACCATCGTGTCGGCCGTCGAGGAGGGCAGGGCCATTTACAACAACATGAAGCAGTTCATTCGCTATCTCATCTCCTCCAACGTCGGGGAGGTTGTTTGGTGAGAGCCCCCCCCGCACCAGGCACCACATTGTGGGGAGCAGCAGTGGGGATATGTCCCATGGGGCAGGTGACGCATGGTTCTGTCCATGTCCCCTGCCCCTGGCAGCATGCAATGCCCAAAACTGTAACCCTGGGTACCAAACAGAGCAGCTATGCCTTGTCTTAATCCCCAGGGACTGTTGGGTTTTTTTTCTCTTGTAGCTTTATAAACACACCAGCTCCCAGGAGCTGTGTTGTTAAGGCGTTGCCTATTTAAGCCCATGCCAGTGTCTAAGATGGGTGCAGATATTTGTGCCCAGGCTGTGGTCACCAGGTCACACCAATGCATTTGCATCAGGTCCTGGGCAGCTCTCCCTGTCACTGCCCATCCCTCCCAGTAGATCAGCGCATTCCTCAGCAACGTGGGCACAGCCTTGGGATCACTTGGGCATCCTTTGCCCTTGCGTTTCAGCAGGGGTGTTGTGCATGGAACCCCTGTGGCCACGGGGACACCACTGGTTGGGTTTGGACTGCAAAGCAAATTTTAAAAGCGACGGGAACAAATTTTAACGGCACAATTCAGTCCTGGACTTCAGGCTGCTGCCTCAGGGGCTGGTGGGTTCATCTGCAGGGTGAATATTCCAGTTTGGGGTATTTGGATTCAGGGTGCCTGCTTGCTCTCCCCTTGCATGTCGCTTTCTCTGGCTACCCCAGAGCTCATCTAATTCGGCATCTCTGTTTTTTTCCCTGCAGCATCTTCCTGACAGCCATCCTGGGCTTGCCTGAAGCCCTCATCCCTGTGCAGCTGCTGTGGGTGAACCTGGTGACAGACGGGCTGCCGGCCACCGCGCTGGGCTTCAACCCCCCCGACCTGGACATCATGGACAAGCTACCCCGCAACCCCAAGGAGCCCCTCATCAGTGGCTGGCTCTTCTTCCGCTACCTGGCCATCGGAGGTGAGCCCCTGCGGGCACCACTGGGCAGAGGATGAGGACGGGAATGGGGTGCCATGGGGTACAGGACCCATTGCTGGGTGCTGGGGGTAAGGTGTCTCTCTCGGCCGCAGTGTACGTGGGCCTGGCCACAGTGGGCGCAGCGACCTGGTGGTTCTTGTACGACGCCGAGGGACCACAGGTCTCCTTCCATCAGCTGGTGAGTCAGGAGGGGAATGGGCCAACCTGTTGAGCAGATAGATGAGGGCATGGATTCAGGCATCGGGGTCTTTCCTCTACCTTTCTTCTGTGATTATTGTAGCATTCACAAATTCCTGGTGGAGAAGACATTAGTTGAAAAAGAAAAGCAAATTCTCTCACTCAGGCTCATGTTTCCAGCCTTGCTTCTGCCAGCAACCAGCCTGATCCAAAGAACCTTAAAGTAGCTCCTGTACCTGATCCCACATTGAAAGGGATCGATTTTTATGTTGCTGTAGGTCTGAACAAAGCGGTGGGAAAGCGGGTGCCATCGCGCCCCAGTGTCAGGTGCAATGGAAGATGTATTTTTGATGGAGACATGCGTGTGCTCAAACACCTTATTAACTGCATGTGAAAATCTCTAAGCCACTATCCAGCCATAACCTTAAAGCCCCAACCACAGCAGAAGCTGGGTCACTTTAGGCAGTTTTACCAGCTGCTCTGAACTGTGGGATATTTAACAGCAACCCTAATAATCAAGGTTCACCATGTGCCCCCCAACTAGTCGGCCTCTTCCTCCTCTTTCCTGCCTTTCCTACACTGCTGCTCTGCCGTGTATTTACCAGCGGTTTCCTGTGCTGACAGAGGAACTTCATGAGGTGCACCGAGGACAACCCCATCTTTGAAGGCATTGACTGTGAGATCTTTGAGTCCCGATACCCCACCACAATGGCTCTGTCCGTGCTGGTGACAATCGAAATGTGCAATGCTCTGAACAGGTAGGGTGGCCGCAGGATTGCTCTGTGCACTCTATGCATGAAACGTGTAGGGTCTCTTTGAGCATCTGTTTGTGGGCTGAGGGCTTTGCTTTTACTCAGCAGAGCCATTCGGAGCGTCCTTTCAGGGGACCACTGGGTTTGCTGTAAATAAACCCCTCCGAGCCAGTCTGTCTACAACAGCAACAGTCTGTTGCTGTCTATGCAGTGGAGGAAGGACTGGATCTGCATCTGTTAGCTGTTTGGCCCCATTAATGACCAGTTCTAACCCATGCATGGCTGGTTGCATTGAGATGGGTGTCCAGATCCAAATCATGATCAACTGAACAGCCTGGAAGAAAGAGGCTATAGCATACAGCCTTGGAGAGAACTGGGAACCCCCAGCTTGGGCAGGCGCAGGGACCAGGAGGTTATTGGGGCTAACGGCATCCCCTTGCTTTCGCAGTGTCTCCGAGAACCAGTCGCTGTTGCGGATGCCACCGTGGCTCAACATCTGGCTGCTGGGGGCCATCGTCATGTCCATGGCTCTGCACTTCCTCATCCTCTACGTGAAGCCCATGCCTGTGAGTGCCCTCTGCCACCTCCACGCACAGCCCAGGGGGCTCCTTCTGTAGGCAAGGACCTCCCTGGAGCAGTCTGGAAACTGCTGTGATAGCTGTCCCCAGCACGTGCCCTCAGCAGCAACTCATATGACTTGAAAGAACATGGGGACCGGGAGACACCCTGTCCCAATGAGCCTTTACTTAAGGCAGAAACTCTGCTTATAGGCAATGCAAAGGGGTATAGATATCTCAGCTTCTTTGGAGGCATCACCTCCCTTGGCAGTCCAAGGCTGGTGATGCCTCGAGGGATGACTAAGAGTTCTTAAGATGAAGTGGGTCGCTGTGCCCAGGAGGTTACATTGTCCTTTGTCCCCTGCTAAGCGCCTGTGAGCACATACAGTCGTCTGCAGGAGAGATGAAGGACATAATTTTTGACTCATCTTGGCCAAGAGCCACCTTGAGATTATGACAGACCTGGAAGAAATTCTGCTCTTTGGGCTGTCTGGATCCTCCCTCCTTGTACCTGGGATGAGATTCCCTCAACCTGTGCCATACAACAATCTGACTCTTAAACAAAAAAATCCCACCTCCTTCTCTATCGACATGTCCAATCCTTTCTACCTTGCAGCTCATCTTCCAGGTAACCCCCCTGAGCTGGCCGCAGTGGGTGGTTGTGATGAAAATCTCCCTGCCCGTTATCCTCCTGGACGAAGGACTCAAGTACCTTTCCCGCAACCACCTGGATGGTGAGCATGGGCTGCACCGCCCTCGGTTCTGTTTGCTCCATGGCGTTTTGCTTGGGGGTTCATGGTGGCTTCGTGGACACCTCGCTCACCTCTGCTCGTGTGGTGTCTGCACCTGCATGTTCATCCACCTTTGCTGTGAAAAAAGGGACCTTTTCTCCTACCCCCTTCCTTCCTGGATGCCACGCCTGGCAGAGCAGTTGGTACTTATGTCTGCTTGAAATACTCCTTTAGGAGCTGGAGCACTAGATAAATAAATCCGCCACCTGTGTTTATCCAGCTCTTCTCAAACCTCTGGGAACTAGATCCTTTCTCTTATAAAGCAAAACAAATCAAACACTGGTTTCTAACAGGAATCCTTCATTTTTTCCCTAATTCTTCTACCCCTCTATG